GGGGGGGGGGAGCACAGGCTGCAGACCCCCTGAGTCTGATGAGAGTCTGGCGGCTCTTTTCCAGAGGAGAAGCAGCGGAGATGGGCTCACACCTCTGATTCACTCTTCATCCTTCAGCTTATTTATTTTTTCTCAAAGACCTGGAACGATATAATATCCAGAAGGGTGTTTTTTAGCCACTTCTGTCCAGACGGACGGATAGACTCCATCTGATCGCAGGAGGAACCAGTTTTAGTTGCATTCCGACGCTTAGTTCTCACCTGGAGAAGAGAGGCGCGCTGCGATCATCATGCACCCAAATAAGTGCTTACCTGAACTGATGGCCGAGAAAAACAGCCTGGACCCTTCCTTTGTTCACGCGGTTCGGCTTCTAGCAGATGGTAAGCAAGGTACAGTAGGGTGTTTCTTTCCATCTAATCTGCTCTAACAGGTGCTTCATAGCATGTTTACCATGTTACTCTTGTCTGTAAACTAAAAGCTTTACTTCAGTTCTTATGATTGCAACTTAGATGTCTTTACTTCAGAAGTTTAGATTCATTCAGCTAAGTAAAAGTGTGCAAAGCCAAAGACTCATCACCTTGTTTTCCTCCAAAAAGTTTGACTAAGAGTCAGATTTGACAAGAAAAGCTGCTGCTGTGTTTTATGCTTGGCTACAAAGCAACCAACAATGAACAGTTCACACTAATTGTAATGATGGATTAAAGTTAAAAAAATATAATCTTTCGGATTTGACAAAAAAAAACCAACAGAAACTTACCACACATAAAATATTTAAAAAAATTTTATACAACCTTTGTAAACATTATAATACAATCAGCATTATAATTGAACAGTATTTCAGAAGGGTAAACAAAGACTTTGTCTGTTATACATCAGTTTTTAGATTGCAGTGTGTCAAGATTCCTAAAATTATTGCTGCATTTTTCCTTGGCATGGTTTGGTTATTAGTATCAAGGCACACAGAGCTTCTAAAAGCTTACAGTTCAAAAAACAACAGAAAAAAAGGATCTTAGTTTGTTTAAACTAAATTTGTTCTGGGGAGAGTGATGAATTGGCCAGTCTTCTCTTTGGGATGTGGAAATTTAAGTAGCACTGCCCTCCTCCACCTGTTGCTGCACACTGCCAGCTGGCTGGCTGAAACATGGCACACAAAAAAAATCCAGTTCCTTAACAAGAACATATAAATTCATTCCTTTGTAGATATTTCCTTTTGCAAAAAAAAACAAAAAAAACAGAGCAAGTGCAGAAACTAAAGGAGCCAATCATTCTAATTAAAGCTTCACTTGGCAACATATGAAGAGAATCTGTTTATGAGAAGGCTTTAAAAAAATTAATAAATCCACTATGAGCAATTTCTTCCTATAGTTTGTTTAAAGCAACACTGAGATACAATTCGATTATTTTTTAGGTCAATATACAGCACTTGGCATGTATCAATGCTCCACACTTGCTGCCGTTCTTTAGAACCGTCCTTGTCTTGATGAGCAACTTAATAACTCCCCGGTGTGCTGGTCCAGAGTGGTTTGCTATCAGCTTCCAAAACAAGGATGGAGACAGTTTAATTTTGCGGACCTGGAGATAGGCCAATATTTAATTCAGCCAATAATTTTGGGTTATATACTTTGTATCGGTATTGACTGATACATGCATGTGTTGGATAATTCATAAGTGCATTCAGCAACCGTGCCTTGAGATATTGCTGTTTCCTAATGTTTTGTTGTTTTGTTAATAATTGTATTTTCTTTATTTATACTTGTGCAACATTTATTATGAGTGTGTGCTATCTTTATTAAGTATACGGAGGAAGAAAATGCAATATCAGCTCTAAGAATGGGCCCAAAATATTGGCATCATATATCAGGGATCAGTTAGACTGATGTTAAAATAATTGGTATTAAAACCATGAATCCGTCGATATACAAGTAGCAGTCACCTTCAAGGGAACTAAATAGGTTGCAGGTGGCTGAAAATTTACAAAGTGTTGCTTTAAGCCCTGTTTAAAATGTTTGTGAAAATAGGAGTAAAACTGGTGTATTCGTATTCCAGGTTTATGATTAGAGCAGCAAATCTCAAATTCCTTGCATTTTCAACACGTTTAATGTTGCAGTCACAATATGTTACAGCTGGGTTTTCCCAAACTTTTAGTGGCTTAGATGCTCAAGTTCAAAAAAGTTGGGATACCAATATCTACTTTGTAAATAAAGAGGTGAATATATTATATAAAACAGTTTAAATATAAAAATATCACATATGTAATAAAAAAAAAACAATAAAAAAACATGGCTTTTGATCTTGAGCATCCTTTAGTTGTACTCTAAACTTGTTAATCTTCTCATTCATAAGACCTGTATTTTTTTTTTCATATTTTCACATATCTGCTAATATGAGTAAATATGTGTTGATACAACTTGCATATCAGAGTGTTAATGCAAAAGTAATGTTCTTTAACTTGAGCTTTCCTGCTGCAATGTGTTGATGAGACACCTTACAGTGCGGCTTTGGCACTCTCTGGAGTGCAGATGGGATCATCTGTCACATGCTACATTTTGCCAGATTTTCTCAAGGCTGACTCACAATGAGAAAACATGTCAGAGACCATTAATATGCTCTGTAACACCTCATCAAATGGCGTTTTAAAACTTTTTTTCCGTAAATTTGCGCTTCAGTCAACCATAATCTTCAATATCATATGGTGCTTTACAAATAGATGTGTAAATTTTATATAAAAACAGGCAGCTTTAGGGATGTGTATTTTTCTCACAACTGTTCTGAAAGTTTCTGTCGAATAATATTTGGCAACCTGCTCTGGAAATGCTCTAAAGTTTGTGTGGCTTAATCTAAGTTTACAGCATGGATTTCTCCCTCTTTAACAAAGCTCTTTGGTCAGCCTTTACGCATTGATAATGCAGAATCCTGCATACCTGCGGGCAGCGAGATAAACTGCTTTCAGCAAATTATTGATTCAGTTATTTATCACTGAACAGAAAGGCACATAATCCTGCATTATTCATATCACAGACAATAAAACACCAAACATGGATTTACTGTGGTCTTAGTTAAATCACGATATTTATGAAATATATTTTTCATGCTTTGTGAACAAATGATACACTCTGCATAATCATTTGTCTATATTTGAGCAGATATATGATGGGTTAGGGATGAGGGTCATTCATTACCCGGCTGGCATGTAAGGCTGTGGGTGTGTAATTGCGTTTCTTGCGTTGTAGAAACTGTTTTATGTCTTTGTTATTCAAAGTGACAATAAATCTAGGTTACTGAAAACATCTTTAAGAGATATTGGCCATAACTGTCTTAGTATTCATTGAATATATTTGTCTGTGGAAACAGGAGTCTAATGACTGCTCAGACTGACAGATGAAAGTCAGCTCTCTCCTGCACTTCTTTCTTCTCCCTAAATAACACTGCAGTTGTTATTTTATAGTGGGTGGAAGTCAGAGACAAGAAAGGCGAGCCATTAATAGATCCCACAGGTTTTCCTTGTAAGACTCGCCTACATGCTATGTAAGAAAACCAAAGGGATTTCTAATAAGCAGACAGGGAGGCAGACAGGAAGTAAAAGACATCTAGATGAGTAATGACAGTTGAGGATAATAGCTGTTTTATAAACTTCATTGTCTGCATGTTTTAGAGCAACGTTCTGTTATGCAGCCCATTATGCTGCAAACAGACTAGAAAATATGGTGCTGTATCTGTTTCAAAGTGTTCATACCTCTTGAGATTTTCTGCTTCCTTGCAAACTCAACTTTATTGTGAATTGGTTGGGATATTATGTGATTGACCAGCTTGAACTAATGCTGAGTTAATTGTTAGATAAAAGTCTTAAAAGTAAGTTGCAAATTTTCATTCTCTATTTTGTAAACACTGACTTAATAAAGTCCACCTATGTCTAATTTCATTTCAGTATTAATACATGTATTTGGTTAAGTTTACTTTTAAAATAGAAAACAAACTGCATAAGGAAGAACAGAACTAACAGCAGACAGGTCAGGAGTACAATTGCAGAAAAGCTTAAACAGCATCTCAAGCACTCAAAGCATTGTCCAATCCATTCTTTTACACCAGAATCTTAATGATATTCAGAATGTATTAAATTAGATTCTGAAAATTTGATGTAGGCTTTCTAGGATTCTCCCTGCAGATATTTTGGGTGTCTTGGTTTGTTATTTCTCAGTGTCCCCTTGCTGACCTCTAACTCCCAGCTGCATATCAGACAGAGATCCACCCTGTCTGAGTTTGATTCTGCTGGAGGTTTCTTCTTTTAAAAAAAGATTTCTCCTTATTTTTGCCTTACGAAAATGATCAGGGCAGGGATTGAATAGAGTTTCAAATTAAATTGCATTTTCTGGTTACCAGTTTCGTGATTTTGAAATAAATCTACTTCTAATGGATTTTTCTACCACTCATCAGTGCCTATATAGAAAGAGTTTATAAATGCTGGAAGTAGATTTGCATATGTTTCTACAAGACATTTTATCTCTCAGCAATGAGAATTATTGACCCTAATTTTGAAAATTGCTTCAACGAGAAAGTGTGGCTGCTCACACTTTCATTCATGTGAAACCAACATATTTTTCGTATAATATTAGCAGTGAGAATATTGCATCACTTCATAAAGCTTTAAGCTCAACATTGCAAGTGAGTCTTTTTGTCTGTTTCCTTGTGCAGGGGACGCTACAGCAAGTCAAGTTGCACAAAGATTAGTTTTTACACCGAATGCCTTTTCTGACACAAGCAGGATTTAAAAAAAAACTCAAGTCCCTTTTATTAAAGATACAGGCTTAGCCCATTACACCACAGAAGGACTTTAAAGCTTGACATTAACCTTTAAATATTTACCTCAGCTTATTTTATGTTTGATTTAATGTTAACTTGTGATAGCAATGTCTGGATAACAGAACATTTATAGCAAAACATCCTTACAGTATGCCTACGCCTGAGCTGGACCTTACTGAGAAACTATTTGAGGAAGCCATTCGATTTTTCAGTCTTTACATCAGTGGTGGGCTATGAGGGCCTTTAAAGTCATCTATGCTGGCCTAAAATCTATCAGAAACACTAATTTACATTCACAATCTAAACTTGGATTTTCTTCTTTCCAACTGTATTAATTTATTCCAAACATTCTGTTCTCTAAAAAAATAAAAATAATCATATTGTTTCTGTTTATGTTGAGATGAGAAACTGGAATAAAACGTCAGATCAGACAGCACTCAGCTCAGCTTGCATCCATCAGAATAACTTCACCCTGTCAAGCATTTACAAGCATGCTGATCGGATTGTCAGTCGGCATACACCTCTCACAGTCGGATTCAAATTTTTATTCTGATCCTCGCGAATCAATCAGAACATTTTGTCA